TTACACACTTGAACGAAGGCGTCACTGCTCTTCGGGTTCATTGTTGTGGCCTTCGTCGGATATGTGCTTCACGAGCTCGGAGGTGATTGTCTCCTCAGTAGAAGTGTTGCCCTCCTTAGTTGTCCTTACCCCCATGGTGCTCGTCGAGAGGGTCGATAGATGGGCCGTGCATGTGCCGCTTGACGCGGTTGACGGGGATTTGAAGTGGGGTGAACCTGGTCGACCTTTTGAGCTGGTGTGCAGAGCAAAGTGGGATAGCATAGCGAACGAGGAGAGAGCTAGCAAGCGGAGCCGGAGTAAGAGGCGAGGGGAAATAGAGGTTGAGGAAGGAAACACGGGGAGGAGGAGGACAGTCACGAAAGGAAGGGTGGAGCGCAATCAAGCTTATCTGCACTGCTGGTGTGACCCTTGCAGTGAGTCGCAATCTCGACATAGCAGTAGTGTTAGAGGGAAAGCGCCCACGCCAGCGAGCTAGCGATGCGGGATAGGCCGAAAACCGGGCTATGAGCCGAACTGTGGGGCCGCTAGCAGGTGCAAACGTTAGACTCTCCCTAAGCCTTGAACTGTCAAACTCAAGATGGACGTGGATAAGGGGAATCCGACCGTTTAATTCAAGCAAAAGCTTGTAATGGTCCCAACGTATGTTGGTGGTGGCCAGAGTATGCTCTCATTGACACTCGGGTTCGGCGGTTTCATTTACAAGTCTTAGGCTACAGCAGGCCACTTCATTGTGATACGGCGGTGGTCTCCACAGCCGGCGCTTGTGTGTACCTTGGGTATGGTAGCCGACATCAGCGAGGTGTTTGTTGTCCGAAGTTAAGATAGAGCAACACTGTGACCATGGTTTGAGCGCAGGGCGCCACTATGGAGGAAAGCTCGGATTCACATCGTGATGGCCGAGCTCGTTGTTTGGAGAAAACCTCTACGGTGGAACACCGCCAACTGCTGAGAACTGCTGAAGGAGGTCTGAGTGTGAGCCAAATTATTGGTGGGAGGCGGTGTGTCGTTCTCGCCTATGCAGTGGCAGTCTGATCAAGCGGGTGAGACGTTGTGACTTGGGGGAATGACGAGGCTTGAGGGAGGAGTTACCGCGGCGACCTGGAGGTTTATCAAAGTGAGGCTACTCTGCGTTTTGGCAGTGGGTTGATCGACATAGCGCGTTTTGGCTGCCATTGCGGGGTCCTCAGGCGATTGAAGGTATCGATGCCCTCTCACGCGAGTCTAAGTGCACCATCCTTGGATCTGAGAGTCTTAAATGTTTCTCCTCCTGCCTTTCTTACTCTAAGTCTGGTCATTGGTTCTGAGAGGAAGGCGGCAGGCGGGATTGCAACCCGTAGGACCGCAGCAAGGCCTACGTGGGAGGTTACTCCATCGATTGCGGGAGCTCTGCCAGAACTCAGGAGGAGTTCTGGAGGCAGGGAACTGAGAGGTAACCACCCATCCCCCTCTATAAACCCAGTTATAACCCCTTTCTGTACCTCTTGCTATGTTTTGACTGAGTATGCTGCATGTATCCTACTTTGACCCCGACTTTGACTTTCAGGATACGAATCAGACTAAGTAAAGGAATGCCTGTGCGATCTCAGTTTCAGTTTGTTGATTGCGTCAAAGCAGATTGTGAGCGAAGGGGATTGCATTTGGGGAAGGTTGAGAGGAAGGCAGCGTTGCATGAGTTTTGATTGGGTCAGTTAAGGCTGGGAAGTCCCCATAAATTTGGGGAGACCCGGCCCTGTGTTTTATTTTGGAATTGCTTGGAGAATCAGACATGTCCCATAAGTTTGGGTGGTCTGATTGCTTTGACTTGCGAGGGCTGTCTGTGGTTGATTTTTATACGAGCCAAGCATGTCCCATAAGTTTGGGTGGCTTGGTTGCCCTGTTTACTTTGGGTTTCTTATGTTTCCTTTGGTTCTGAACGAGGAGGTCTGAGCATGTCCCAAAAGTTTGGGTGGCTCAGTGTTGCATACTGTAACGGTGCAGACCAGAAAAAAGAACCGGCCTCTCAATACAAAGTACAAGATAGCGTAGCGGAAGACTTAGATACCAATGATCCGAACAATCAATATTGCAATGCAGCCCTGAACATACATCATCATCATCATTCCATGGTGTGAAGGGGTCTGGCGCTCACACCGGAAGAATGCGCCAGCCCCAACCATACACAGACGAAGAAGAGGGGGGTTAGATGAAGAAGAGGGGAAGATGGGAATGTCGTCAACACCAGTCTTCACACAGGCCCAAATAGTCCCTCGTCAAAATGTCTGAATCCCAATGTCGAGTCTGGATCCAATGTCGTCAAGTCTCAAGTCACAACTCTCTCTCTCTGTCGTAGTCCGCTGATACTGAGAAGTCAAGTGGTGAGAGGGGAAGAAGAGATGGTGGACTTAGAAGAGGAAGAAGAAGAACTCTCTCTCTCTCTCTCAGTCCGGTACTAACCTGTGAAGTTGGCGCCTTGATGTAGGTACCTCGAAGATGGAGCTGGAGCTATGGCGCCACAGGTAAGTCTCACTGGCCTCCGCCAGCCATCTCTCCCCAACACTACTACTACCACCTACTAGCGCCCAACGCTGAAGACTACTGCTATGGCTACTAGCCCCCAGTGTTGAAGATTACTGCTGGCGCTAAGCTACTCCTGCAGCGCTCCTCCTGAGTGCTGCGGCCGAATCCTGAAGACTACTCCTGCCTTTTGTCCAACTACTTACCCGTGAAGTGCATGGGAACTCCCTATGTACTTCTCGGCCTGCCTCCTGACTGCAGGGCGAGGCCGTCCAGGAGGCTGCTCTTGCCAATGCCGAAGGGAGTCAGGGGCTGCGGCTGCAGCTCCTGCTTGAGGCTGTCATGGGAACAGGCCAGAAATAGCTTGTTCCCGAAGCCCTGGTTTTATGCCTGAGTGTTAGGGCAGGTCGATCTTATGAGGGCCCGAAAGTGGCCCTACGTTTCAGGCTGAAAAGCCTCAGGGCTGAAAAACCCTGTTTTAGGCCGAAAACGAAATAGGGCCTGCAGACCCTCGTTTTCAGTTTTCAGGCTGAAACGACATGGGGCTTGCAAGCCCTTATTTCTAGGCTTTTAGGCTAAGAATGCGGGACGGGCCCTGCACGCCCGTGTGGCTACGCAGTATGCCACACACCCCCCTCCTTGAAAGACCGAGCTTACCTGCGAGGGCGAAGCTGTCTGTATGAGGGAGGGACCACAGTCCGGGTGGGAGGGGCAGGTCGTGAAGGTCCCTGAGCTATCCTTTGTCGCTCGTAGTGAGCATAGATCAGCGGTGCGGATGCTTTCAAATCTGTTCTTGAAATTCACCGAGTGTCGTCGGGATCGCATGCTTTGAATGTAACTTTGTACTGTCGAGGCTTACTGCCGTACTTGCGATCCGTGATGACGCGGTCAACTTCCTGATGACCATCCATAGATGGAGGGTCCTGCGATCGTCGGCCCGAAAAGTCGTCGTTCTTAGCTGGTGTATATGTTGCCAGCTTCGAGGCGTGAAAGACTGGATGGACCATCAGATGCGGGGGGATGTTGATCACAAATGAAGGGCCATCGGGCTCATCGCCCACGGCTGATGTTACGGGCCATGGTCCAAACCACTTAGGAAGCAGTTTGCGTGAAACATCCTGTTCCAGTGCAAACTCTTCCGCGGAGACCCAAACCAGATCAGACGCGGATGGGACATGGCACGCGACGCCTGTTGGCTTGCTGCATGCGGACTTGAGCCTTTTGCATATTCGCGCGGGCTTGAGCCAGCAATTCCCTGTACTTCCGGACGGAAGCGGGAGAGCAAGCGGCATCGATGTCGGCTGGTCATGGTAGGAGAAGGTCGCCGAAGATACGGCCTTTCCGTCCACCGTGGTGCAACTCGAATGGAGTCACACCGATCGCCGGGTGCACCGAAGTGTTGTAGGCGAACTCGATGTCGGGGAGGCGGTCAACCCAATCTTTCTGGTCCGGACGGATGAGCGTACGAAGCATCATTTTAGCGGTTTGATGTGCCCGCTCCGTTTGCCCGTCCGTCTGTGGATGCCGAGCCGAACTCGATTTCATCTTCGTGCCGGACTCCTGCATGAGAGCAGTCCAAAATGTCGACATGAAGCAAGTGTTGCGGTCGCTGACTATGTCTTCCGGTACACCGTGGCCGCAAATCCAACTGGTGTGCAAAAGGCGTGCCAGCTCGGGAGCCGTGGAGTAGTACTTGCAAGGGAGAAAACGTGCATACTTACTCAAACGGTCCACAACTGTGAGGATGCCGTCGTGCCCGAGGCGATCGCGGGGAAATGGTCCGGTGACATCCATGGCAATGGAGAGGCCGGGTTTCCGTGGGATAGGCATCGGGCGCAACTCGCTGTAGGGGTTGCGATTGCGGGGCTTGCTTCGTCGGCAAACTTCACAAGAGTCGCAATACCGAGTGACATCGATAATGAGGTCGGGCCATCAGAATCGTTGTCGAAGCTGTGCAATAGTGCGGTTGACTCCGAAATGGCCGGCGAGTCGCGAGTCATGGTACTCCCCGAGAAGGCGAGTCCGAAGACGACGGTCTCGTGGGACACATAGTAAGTCCTTGCCTCTCGAGTGGAGGAGCAAGTACCCGTCGGCAATGCGATAGTGGCTGGCCGGCGGGTGATCCGAAGATAGTTGCGCATGCAATATGGCGAAATCCGGATCAAACTCATAGCCCCGGATGAAGTGTCGCTGGAGTTCCTCGTCGAATGCGAAGGCATGATGTGTCATGGCGCAAAGATCGGGTCTTCGCGAGAGTGCATCTGCTGCGCGATTGGAGAGGTCGGGGAGATGTTTCGGTGTGAAGTCAAATTGGTCGATGAAGTACATCCATCGTCCGATCGTGCTGCTCACCGTATCCTGCGTCTTGTAATAGGTCAATGGGTTGTTGTCCGTGACCCATGTGAACCTACGACGCCCAAGGAGGAAGTGCCGCCATCGCTTGAGAGCCATCACGAACGCGAGCAGCTCCTTCTTCCTTGCATCATCAAGCGAATTGATGGGAGGCACTTTGTGGCTGAAATACTCCACAGGGTGCTAGTCGTCGCCGTCGTGCTGTTCCAAGACTACCCCAATGCCATAGCTGGAAGCGTCGGTTGTCACTCTCGTAGGCAGGGTGAGGCCATATATGCTAAGGACGGGTGCCATGAGCATCGCCGTCTTAAGTGCTTGGAATGACCGGCGTGCGTCGTCATCGAATACGAATGACACCTTTGGCGATTGTAATCTCGTTATAGGTGCAGCAATCCTTGAGTATGCGGTGATGAATCGCTGATAGTAGCCCGCCAACCCCATGAATGAACGGACGTCCGTGGTGTTGGTGGGCTCGGGCCATACGTGGAGGGCCTCGATCTTGTCCGCAAGCGGACGGATGCCTTGCGGCGTCACATAATGTCCTAAGTACTCCAGCTCCTGCCGCGCGAATTCGCATTTGTCGCGGTTGGCTTTGTACTTGGCTTGTCGTAGCCGCTCCAAAACGGTGCGCAGGTGTTCCACATGCTCGTCCAAACTCCGACTGTACACCAGGATGTCGTCGAGGTAGATAAGTACGAATTGATCCAGCATGTGTCGGAACTCCGTTGTCATAGCCGCTTGGAAAGTGGCCGGGGCATTCGTAAGGCCAAATGGCATAACCAGCCATTCGAACTGCCCATATCGCGTCTTAAACGCGGTCTTGTAGCGGTCCTCCTGCCGAATCTCGAGTTGGTGATATCCCAACTTGAGGTCAAGCTTGGAGAAAAACTTGGCGCCGCCTAGCCGTTCAAGGAGGTCGTCGATGCATGGAAGAGGGCCGGCATTTTTGATCGTTTGCGCGTTGAGCTTGCGATAATCGATGCACAACCGCAAATCCTTGTTCTTCTTCCGGACGAAGAGAACTGGAGCACCGTATGGCGATGAGCTAGGCCGAATCCAGCCTTTCTCCAGAAGGTCGTCGAGTTGTGCCCGGAGCACACTTAACTCTTCCTCGCTCATTCGGTAGATGCAACCACGCGGAGGTATAGCCCCGTCCTCGACGACGATCTCGTGGCGGATGGGCCGGTCCGGTACAACTCCGTGCGGGCCTTCGAACACGTCGCCGTAGGCGTCGAGAAGCTCGATGATGCGTGGGTCCGAAGATGAGTCCGTCGATGAAGCGTCATGGGCCGGGAGGGTGTGGAGAAAACACACCCCCATCTCCTCGATGTCGTCTCTGATGATGGAAGCTCACATGCTTGCGGCAGACACCACGTGGCAGCTGATCGAAGGGTGAGGAGAAGCTACCGTGCATGGGACTAGTACTCCGTTCCGATCACGAACGTGAACGGTGCGCCGGTAGAAGTTCACCGGGTGATCCTCGCTTCGCAACCATGACATGCCCAAGATCACGTCGAATTTGGTTTCCAAGATATCGAAGGACACCGCCTCGCTTGCATGCGGGGCAAAGTACACGGGGACATCATCTATGCACCGGTCGATTGACTTGTGCGTGTGACCGTCTGCCAACGTGACTTGCGTAGGCTGGGACTTCCTCCGAACGCGTGGGCCAAGGCTGGCGCGTACCATAAAGTCCTGGCTCATGTAGTTGCGAGATGCTCCGCAATCGATCAAAGCGCTGCAGGTCGCCTCTCCGATCTAAATACGTACATATAACAATGGTGTGTCGATGTCGTCGTACCGTTGTGTCTTGAACTCGCTGTCGATCTTCACAATGTAGGTGTGAAGGTCGACAACCTCTACTCCGACGTCCATCAACGGAGTTGGTACTGCAGTGTGCAAGTAATCCCGCAATTGTGCCATGAGCACGTTGCAATGCGGTTTCGGCAATCGAACGGACCGGGGAAGGGGCATCCATTGGAAGTCCGCAAATGTCAACGGGTCGAGCTCTTTAAGTCTTGACCATGACGTTGAATCCCCGGCGATAGATGGCGGCGAAGCTGCCGAATCGGTTGCCGATGGTGATGAAACCGTGCATGTGGTAGATTGTTGCACGTGGAGCGGTTGGTCCAACRKTGGGACCAAGTGGACAGCATAGTCCTCGTAAGTGTACCGAGGGCTTGCGACATTCGCATCCTCCCCAGATGTGTAGGAGGCCGCTAGCAAGGCRGYCGAATCTGGCGGAGTGAGAGGTGGAGTCGCCTCACCTCCCRCGGAACTCAGTTTCCCGAGTTGATACGAGGCCGAACATCCTCCTTGCCTTGATCCGGGCATTGGGAGGTCTTGTGCTTGGTGCTGTTGCACCAATAGCAGCAGCCGTAGCGGCCGCGCCATTTGTATTCCGCCTCGGTCAAGTGAAACTTGACCCATGGTGCTGGCTGTCCATTTCCGGCCGGCGATGCGGTTTTTGCCTTCCCGTTTCCTCGGGACTTGTTGTTGCTTCGCGGCTGGACAGCAGCCACCTGATCTCCCTCATGTGACGCTTGGGTGGCTGCCGGGTCTTCCACAATGTTGTCCGATTGGACTGCAGCGACATGCTACGACCGCGGACCAGTTTTCACCTTCTCCACATAGGTTGGCTGCCATGCTGATTTCTCATGTGCAGCTGCCCTGTTGGTCTTGATAATCTCCCTTGCCTTGTCGATGATTTCGGCGAAGGTCGCGTATTGCTCGCAATCACCAAGTGCAAGGCTCAAGGCGGCACATGACCGGTTGTAGAACTCGCGGCGCAGATGCAAAAATGGCAAGTCAAGATCGGGCGTTGCCGCGATCTTTTGCCATTTCGTGAGCCAGTCACGTGTCGATGTGTTGCCTTGCATCATGCCGAAGAGGCGGTTGATGGCGAGCGTCAGGGCGTCGTCCACGATGAACCGCTTCTTCCATAGCCGTGTTAACTCTTCCCAAGAGATCTTATCTTTCAGATCTGCGACGTCGACGGTTGCCAGGTGGCTCAACCAGATCTGGCATCCGCCCTTTCAGTTGAGGAACAGTGTGCCGATGTACGCGTGCTTGGCGACGAACAGAATCCGAAGTTGCGTTGTAAAGCCCTCCCACCAGAGGACTGGGTCTTGATGCGTATAATCATCGAACTTCTGGATTTGGAATGTCGGCATCTTGTAGTGTTGCACGGCGTTGCCATCCTTGTTAGGCAGCTGGTGCAGTTGCTGAACCTCGGTCTTCATGGTGTCCAGCTGATTGCTGATGGTGGCTGGTGCAGCGAAGGTATTGATGTCGCCGAGCATTGCGACTACGTGATCAACTCGTTCCGATTCTTGTGCTGCATCCTCGTGCTGAGCCTTGTGGTTCCGTACGGCCCGCTGGAGGTTCGCCAGCTCGAACTGCATGTGGTTACAAGTGTAGACCAACCGGGTCACGAGCTTGGCCATGAATTCCTTGTGCTGCTCCTCCGGTGTCGCGTCGTCGTGCTCCTCGGATGGTTCAAAGTGCCAAAACTTGAGCTTTTCTATGCTGGTGGATTCATGCCGCTGTAGCAGATCCTGGGCCTCCTTGCGGCGTGCCTGGGTATCTGCTTCAGCTTCGACTTGAAGTCGCTGCTTCTTAGCTGTTGCCGCCGCTTCAGCCTGTAGGCGGACAGCCTCGGCTGTCACCCGGCGCTGTTCCTCGGCCTCGATCAGTGCGAGCTGAGTCTGGAACCGCTGTTTGTACTCGGCAATGGACTCGTTGGCCAGTTGGCCTAGCATGCCCAGAGTTGAGCCTATCATGGTGGCAGGGCACTGCTGATGTGGCATTGTGGCACTGCTGACGTGGCACTGTTGCTAACGTGGCACCGCTGACGTGGCACTGCTGACATGGCACTGTTGTTGACGTGGCACTGCTGACATGGCACTGTTGTTGACGTGGCACTGCTGACGTGGCACTGTTGCTAACGTGGCACTGCTGACGTGGCGAAATGCATGCAAAGGGGTGGGTGGGAGGGAAAACGCAGGTAGGGTACCAGCCCAACAATACTTTCCTCCCGGCCCTAATCAACAGATAAAAAATAAAAAAAATAAAAGAGGACTACTTCCCTTTTTTTTTTTTTT